TAATGTGGAGGCCCAGCCGATGCCTATACCACCTATAGCTGGCGCCGGCGTTTCAAATACATTTCCATTCGATTTCTGTTCAGTGTTGACGAGTTCAAGTCTGCACTTGACTTTTTTCTGAAAAAATCGGAGCAATCAGGATTTCAGTGCTTCCGCTGTTTATCAGCGGTCTGTCCCGCTTCAGTGTTCCTGTAGTGTTTATTGTGACATATAAAGGCAGAAAACAGCAGGGTCTGTGTGAGTCATGATTGTTTTACATTTTTGGAATGACACAACAGGTCCAGGGTTCCTCTCTAAAACAAAGCAAACGTGCGTCAGTGCGCAGTAATTACCAATGCATCACATCCTCTCCTTTCACGTGGGCTTCACAGTGACTCAGATCTGAGGTATGCATGCAGTCGTATTTGTATGTGTGTTTGTTTATTTGTTCATTTGTTTGTTTTGCTGCATTTTCAGGGCAAAAATAGTCTGGGCTTCATAAAGTCCTTTTTTTCCTAAAACCACACACTATATGTACAAACGTACTGGGACATCTACACATTACACCTACAGGAGCGTTTATGACATCTCATTCTAAATCCATAGGCATTAATATGGAGTTGGTCCCCTTTTGCAGCTATAACAGCTTCCACTGTTCTGGGAAGCTTTCACCAAGATTTTGTCTGTGGGAATTTTTGCTCATTCATCCTAAAGAGCATTTGTGAGGTCAGACACTGATGTTGGACGAGAGGGCCTGGCTCACAATCTCTGTTCTAGTTCATCCTAAAGGTGTTTGATGGGGTTGAGGTCAGGGCTTTGTGAGGGCCAGTCAAGTTCTTCCACACCAAACTCACCCAGCCATGTCTTTTGTTTTGTGCACCAGGGCTCAGTCATGCTAGAACAGAAAAGGGCCTTTTCTAAACTGTTCCCACAAAGTTGGAAGCATACAATACCAAAATGTCTTGGTCTGCTGCAGCATTAAGATTTCCCTTCACTGGAACTAAGGGTTCTTGGCCAACCGCTGAAAAACAACCCCATATCATTATTCCCCCTCCACCAAACTTTACAGTTGGAAAAATGCAGTCAGGCAGGTAACGTTCTCCTGGCATTCACCAAATCCACACTCGTCCATCAGACTGCCAGATAGAAAAGCATGATTCATCACTACACAGAATACGTGTCCACTGCTCCAGAGTCCAGTGGTGTTGTGCTTTACACTACTCCATCCAACGCTGGGCATTGTGTTTGGTGATGTAAGGCTTGCATGCAGCTGCTTGGCCATTGAAACCCATGCCATGAAGCTCCTGGTACACAGTGTTTGTGTTAATCAGTATTAAGTATTAAGTATATTCAGTAGTTAATAAGTCTGTTAAGTATAAACTCAAGTTCAAGACCAAGGGTTTCTATGGGTGCCTGAGTAGATGCCTGTTTAATTTGAAATTAGTCTGAAAAGTCAGGTTTCACAACCCATAAATCAAATGGTGAAACCAAACTAGTACAGTTTTGATAACTGAAATAGGCAGTTAAAAGCTTTCATAACACTTGATAACTATATTTAACATATAAAATGCATGTAGATGTAATTGCAAATATAAATGCAGATGTAAAAATGTAAATCATGTCCTTTTTTAATAGGGTGTTTAAAAATTGTTAACTCGTAAACCTTATTTATCATTGACCCATACATATGTATATGTATATATATATATATATATATATATATATATATATATATATATATATATATATATATATGGGTCAATGATAAATATATTTATGAGGGGCATATGTATAACACCTAGTCCAGACATGGTACAAAAACAGACTTCTCTCTGTGTGTGTGTGGTGGTGAGAGAGAGAGAGAGAGCCTGACACTGCACACTCTCCCTCTCACAGCGGAATTCTCCACACACAATGGAGGCCCTGTGAGTCAGCACACTTAAGATGAAGGGAAAAAAGAACATTTTTGAGGTTTTTATTATTGTTTACTTGAATTGGGTTCGACTTGATTCTTGGAACAAAGCAGGGAAAATTGTAACATGACACCAGCCGGAGTGAGTGATGTTTGAAAAGACGTGTGCCGCCGCTGCCTCTCTCGCTCAGCCTCCGCTGACATGACATTTCCATACTGTGCCTTTTTTCCCACACTTTATTTCACACTTTAGAGGAGATGCTTATCACAGCTTATCTTCAAAGCTGTCGTGTGGGTGGAATAATTGCACGGGGGTTGTTTCGTAATAAACACGTTCGGTCCTGTCAGTTGCTCTGTTTCCTGCTGTAGAACCGACTACTTTATGTAATGTTAACATACTCATAACCAGAGCTGGGTTAAATATTCAGTCATGCCTCTTATTATCTAGAAGAAAAGTCAGTTACAGCTTTAAAAATAAAGGTGCTTTCCGGGTTCTTTGGAATGATATAGAAGAACCACCTTTTGTTCTCCACAGAACTTTTTTAAATGGATGGTTCCTTAGAATAATACTCTAATCTCTCTATAGAAGAGCCATTATTGGTTCCCTTTGACTTCTGTTATACACTGTATGTCCAAAGGTTTGTAGACTCCTGCTCTTTCAGCACTTCTTCTTAAATCAAGGGTATTAATAGGGAGTTTGTCCACTGCAGTACCAGTCTCTACTCTTATGGGAAGGCTATACACATTCAGCCACAAGAGCATTAGTGAGGTCAAGTACTGACGTTGGATGGTCAGTTCTGGATCACTCCTACTCCCGAAGGTATAGGATGGAGCTCCATCACTTCAGAGAATGCAGTTCCACTGCTCCACAGCCCCAATGCTGGGGGGCTTCATATGCTTGGCATTGGACATGGTGACTTCAGGCTCATGTGCAGCTGCTCCAGAGTGCCCAGATCTATTAGCACTGCTTTTCTATGGATTATATATGCTGTATATGTACCTGTATCAGCAATAGGGCAACTTAAAGTAGCTGAATTGACCAATTAGAAGTAGCGTCTGGATACTTTTGGGCATACCTTGTGTATTTTGAGTTAACTGGCTTTCTGCTCTTTTATTAAGTACAAGGAAACTTTTTTGCAAACTATTGTCTGTTGAAGTCGACCACATGCTACAGAGGTGTCAGTTAATGATTAGGTTGAATATTCATGGCTGTGGTATATTCAGTAACTTTTTATGGTACACTCTTAAAGGATGGTTCTTCAAGGGCTCTTTAGTAAAGAAAATTGAACCATAAACACTCAACATTTGCATGATTAAAGGGTTTATGGCATTGTGAAATGGTTCCTCAGACTGATGAAGAATCTGTTGTATATGGTTCTATATGGAACCTTTTTGAAAAGGGTTCAATACAGCACCAAACGTGATTCTCCTATTGTTACAATGTCAAGGCAATGTAGCAGAACCCTTGCTCGTGCTATATAGAACCCATTTTCAAAAAGGTTCTACATAGAACAATCTCCATTCATCTGAAGAGCCCTTTTATGATGCAAAGAACCCTGAAAGAATCATGCAAGGGGTTTTTTGAGTGTTCATGGTTCTATAGAACCAGTATCTTTACTGAAGAACCCTTGAAGAACCATCTTTTCTATGAGTGTAGGCAGTGTTCATAAGGCTACGAAACACCTACATAAGCTCATCATACCAGCTGACAAAAGCATTTATAATGGCTTTTTCCAAATGACGTTACCTGTTGTAAAGGCTCTTTTGTCAGCGCTGATATCGAGTTGACATAACACCTGTTTCTGTGTTGTTGACTTTTTCTGACACTGGGTTATGTCATGAGACTTTTTTGGGTAAGATGACATAACACGTTACAACAACTGACTCTGAAGCTTAGTGTGACGTGCTGCTAGTGATGTGAGATGTGAGCTTACATCTTATGTTATAAAACTCACTTTAGCTGAGGGTTACAGAAAACACTTATTCTTGTTCTATCAGATTCGGCAAGCTATGTTGCCTACTGAAATAAGTGTTCATAAATATTTATATAGGTCTATAGTAGTATGGCAGTGAAGAAGGGCTTATATATATGTTTCGTTGCCTTATGAATGCTGCCTATTTTGCTATGAAGGTTACATTTGCCAATTTTGATCAAAGTTAGCTAAAGTAGTCTTTATGACAGATGACACCTATTGGAATAAACATTTATGTAGGGTTATGTCAGTTGTCATGACAAGCTTAAGTAGGTGTCATGTAGTTTTATGAACAGCAACCTACAGTAAAGTGTTACCCAGTTAAGTGCTACTGAGTATTCCTTTAAGGGACCATTGAAAGGTTATTAAGGCAATTCCCAGGCTTATTGCATCATGAGGCTGATTATTCAGTAACCACGTAGGATACAGTGCAAATTGGCTGAACTGTTGTTAAGTTACAGAAGTGAGGAATGGATTTTTTTTTTACTATTTAAAAAGAAATTCCACAATTTTTTTACAGTTTCTGCATAATTTGATCATTGAGATTTAAGCAAAGTCATTGATTTGAAATTATTTATTGTACAGAAACTTACTGACTCTGATTTCTTTACAGTGGTGGTGATGGAAGCCAGTGGTCAGGGTGTCAGTGACCCAAATATAGTCATTTTATTTACGATGCAAAACCACCAGTGAAGCTACACCTGTTTGGGTTTTTATGTGAATTGTTCAGAATAGAAAAACAGTGGTAAATGTGAACCAAAATTTTTTTTGGTACTGATTTACCTCATAATGACCTGAAAATTATATTTTAGGCAAAGAACTTCTCAAAAGTGTTGTGAAACAATGTCTCAGGCAGCATATTCATAGCCATTTCATGTTCCATGCAGGACCTTTTAAAGGCATTAAACTCTTCAGACGTCTGGTTCCTATCACCACCACTGTGAACAGACTCTGACTTGATAAGTTTCTCTAGAACTGTGCATTTCACATCAAACCACTCTGAATGACTTTGTTTGCATCTCAAGGGTTTAATTCTGTGAAATTTTGAAAATTTGGTGTAATGGGTTAAGAGAGTATTTAAAATATTCTGACCCTTTTTTCTCTCTCTCTTTCTCTCTCTCGCCCTCTACCTACAGATTTCCCGGAACTTGGGCAAAATGTACAGCGAGATGATATTTGTGAACGGCTTTGTGCATTGTGACCCCCACCCCGGTAACGTGCTGGTGAGAAAGTGCCCGAAAAGCAATAAGACGGAAATTGTTTTACTCGATCACGGCTTGTATCAGGTGAGACATCGGCTGGGCTCGAGCCGCAAAAGCAAATACATCACATATTACACTCCATTATTCACCCGCTGCCTCTCAGGTCATGCCTGCTCTCAGGCCTGCCCGCGCCGCGGCACCGTAAAAGCATTTCATTAGAGACGACCTGCAGCTCTGCTGTGTGTTTTAGGACGGCACTCCTACACATTCACACATACACATGCACTCACAACAGCGAAGCTCGGCCACATCCATTTCCCAGGCCTCTGCAGGATGTGTGGGAGCCGTAAATGCATTCATGAAGATAATTTGGTGATAAATATGCACTTCTGATGCCCGCGTATAAAAGAAGAGAGCGTTGGAGAGCTGTTCTACTCGTTCAGCCCATAATGGAACCAATTTGCAAGTAATGACTTCAGAGTTTAGTGCGGCTTGGCCCAGAATGTTAATTCCTGGCTGTAGTGTTATTTTTGTTCGCAGCCAGCATGTTCTCCTTACTATACGTTGTAGCCATATTAATTAAAGTGTTGAAGTTGTAAAGTGGTGCTATCCTCTAGCTGCATGTTAATGATGCATGTCTCTTTGGCTCTCTCTTTCTCTTTATCTCTCTCTCTCTCTCTCTCTCTCTCTCACTCTCTCTCTGTAGTAAATTTGCAGGCTGTTTACTTATTACAAGCCCTCTGTAAACCACTGAAGAAGCCACAGCTAACAAGCTCACTGGGACTGCCTGCCTTATTATTGTCATTGCGCTGAAGGCCACATTCAGTTTGCATTACATACAGTTGTAAGCAAAAGTTTGAACACTCCTGGTCAAATTATATTGATTTGCTAAGTGAAAATAAATGAACAGATCCTAATGAACACATCATCTACAGTGAACAAGCATATTTTTTCGGCATATTTTAATGGACAATTTCTATTTATTTGCTGAGTTTAACTAGGCCCAAAGTTTTATTACACACTTCTATAACCTAAGAATAGCTCCATTAGTTTGCATTAAAGTCCCTGTAGTTACTGAATAAAAAGCCTTTGTATGAATGGATTGTTAAGGGGTTAACGTATAAGAAAATAATGTGCCATTACTTTTGCACAGGCCACACTTTATTTTATTTTTTTCCAATATGTCAACCTCAGCAAATAAACAGTAATTGTGCTTTATTTTTTTTTTACATTTTACTTAGATAATCAGTGAAATGTTTAATTTGACCAACCAAACTTTTGCATGTGACTAAATATTTAGATGCAGTTATATAAATGCATAATTCATTATACATTGTTTGCACACAGTTTGCATTCAGTATACAGGTTCTAACATTTTTGGTTTTGTTTTGATGTTAAAACAATGTACAGCAATAACTTTTCATCAAACTCAAATTATAGTAACATATGTCCTTTTCTACTTACAAACATGAATGAGGAATGGACTGAATGTCTAGAATCTGCATATTTGATTGAATCACTCCACTCATTTCAGTGAGATCAGTGAGTGAAAATAGTTAGAAAATGGAAAGTGGGGCACATGCACCCTGGAGGGTTAACAAGGCTTGGTCTAATCTCACCACTACAAATAAATTACCAATTTCTTTTCATGTAGAAGCACTACAATAATATTCCAAATCAGTTTGACCGCTGTTCTGACCGTATAAGTCATAAAGCAGCCTTTCTGAACAGCTTCATCATCTCCTGTTCCTTTCTCTGCTCACAGTGTCTCTATATGTGCCCCTGTCCAAGGTGCTGAACCAGGACTTCCGCATGGACTACTGCAGACTGTGGCAGAGTCTGATAAAAGGGGACATGAAGGGCATAGAACGGTACAGCAGGCGTCTGGGGGCTGGAGACCTGTACCCGCTGTTTGCCTGCGTCTTAACTGCCCGCTCCTGGACCTCGGTCAGCACTGGAATCAGCCAGACTCCTGTCACTCACACTGAGGTACTGCTCTCTTTCTGCACATACATACGCTCCCCTACAAAAAGTTTGGGGACGCTAGCTTTTTAAAATGTATTTAACACAAATAAACTTCTTATTGCATATTAAAGGTTAAGCACTCACTCATCAAATAAGCAGCTTGTCCTCCTGGGTCACAGGGGGTGCTGGAGCCCGTCCCAGCACTCTCTGAGCGGAAGGCAGGAAACACCCTGGACAGGTCACCAATCCATCATAGGGCAGACACACACAGTCACACACACATGATATAGGTTTAATATTAGTAATATGTGATAATAATTATTGTTGTGATGTCAGCACTCTTCAACATTTAAACTTTTCAGATGTTTAAACCCCTTTTGGGGCTGAAAGAGTTTCCATATGTGCTTCAAGCAATGGCAAAAGAAAACGGTGAAATTATTGCTGATTATTATTTAGGAAACACCTGCTTTTCATACTAAGGTAGGAACTTTGATGAACATGAAGCTGAAAATTAAAGCTAAACATACCCTTCTGAATGTTTATAATTCATTTTTACGTAACCATCTTCCAACCTACCTTTATCTCTTAAAATGCTGTTACTGTACCTTTAAAATTGATCAATGCAAATAATTTCTTTTTTGATTGGCTGGCCTGTCTAGTGCCTCATTCAAGGAGCAGCCCAGGCTAAAATACGCCTTTCATATTCATTGTTAATTGGCAGGGTTAAACTGTGGTAGATACTATAGGCAAATAAAGTACATTGGTTTTTGTTACATCACAAAAACAGTGTATTCAATACATGCAGCATATTTTTCAAATATATGTTGTTTGGACTGTGCTACTTTTTAAAATTAGCTATGTTTACATACTACATACTTTTATTGCTAAAAAAGCAAATCAAGTTTCAATAATATCTATCCTTTAACAAAACCTTTGCAGGTTGTCTTACGTTAACAAAACTTTGCTTAAAAAAATTAAAACTAACAATAAAATCAAAAACTCAAAAGAAGCCAAATTGTTCCCAAACTTTTGATGATCTTGTAGCCTTATACACCGTTACTCTCCCCACAGCCTGTACAGGGTACTATGAACTACTTCTGGACAGCCCCTGCTCTTAATGGCTCAAAAGCTGCAGCAGCTGCTGCACATTTTATCATGTAGACAAACAAAGCCCACCTGTTTGAGTTGTGCCAGAGCTGCACACCTGGGTGCCCAGGTGGGTGTCCTGTTGGCCTGCTGGCCTGCTGGTCAGAGCAGTCGTGTATGAGCAGCGCTGGGCTTGTTGTGGGGTGGTTATGGAGCTCTAAAGGCTCAGGGCAGGGCCAGGACCTGGCTCTCTCCCCACAGCCGGAGCTGCCCTCTGTGGGGGAGGCCAGGCCATCTGTGGAGTGTCAGGGACATTTATTTATACATCCGTTACATAAGCCTTAACTGCACTCAGCACGGCACGCTGACTGCAAGCACTTCACATCACTTATGGACAGCTTAGCATCAAGCACCAGGCCCCAAACATACAGCTAGTTATAAAAACACATAGAAAGGGCTAAAAGAAGAGGGAACTGAAGATTTCTGCATTAGAAATTTCTCACAACAAGCTGTTGTTTGAAAATGATGACATAAAAACGATAATTTATAATATAATTTAAAGATAATTTTGCCTTACAACCTCTGAAAAGCACTTATTGTTAGAAAACCTGACTTTTGGCTGACTTGCTTTCCAATTCTGATTTCTGATGCACTTCGTCAGGCTGGATATCATTTGCGATGAATGAAAAATCAGAAACCATATAAAAAATATCTGGGATTTTAAACATGTTGTTTACTGTGTTATATTTTCATTTATTGTTACACCAAAACTTACAAAGAGAAAAAGATGTAGACTTTTGTTTTCTTACACTTTTATGATGTTTTTAAAGTGCAGTTGTCCACATGAGCCAGCAAGTCCTCACTAGCATGCTAGCTAACTAAGAAAGTAGCTGTGGGCACCATTTTACTTTAAAATTTGTTTTATTATTTGAGAGTTGTAAGCTATATCTAATCAAACGTTTTCCCTCCAATTCTTCAGTGTGAAAAACAGATATTTTCATTGTTATGTAAAACACTCATGGACTCAAAGAAGTGATCGTCATCGTTTGCCCTCTCTACTCTCAGAGGCAGTTGTTTTCCATTTGTGATGAAGTCCTATCTGCTCTTACCTGACTGGCCAAACCAAATGCGGTGGCCACACTTATGTGCATTATATTGAAATTTGCTGAGCATTTTTTTACCGCATGGCGAATCAGATTTTGCCGCACTACAACCCATTATGCACCGCACAATGCAGCAGAGCTCTCCATTGAAATGAATAGAAGGCAACAAGGCAAAGATGCACATGAATGCATACCGCTACAGCCGAATAGGTCCTCGGCTGACTCTTTTGGCCAGTTTTTATTAGCCTTTTTTTAAACCCCATGGCCGATATTTTCTGGAACTGCTGTTTTAGGTTTGTGATTGACAAAGAATTTTTTAATCGCTATAAATAACATCAATCAGATAAAGTGCTACATTGAAAGTTCAGCTCAATTGTGCAAAATTATGCAACAGTGTTTTGGTTCAGGTGTAGCTCCAGCATGCAAATACAGTGTGAGTCCACTTACCTACCTCACATTATTGGTCATAACTTTGCAGCCCAGATCGTCCCAAATGAAAATAATTATTTGGACCAAATGTCTATGAAAGGACAGAAAAATAGAGATGATAGATTATTTTTGTATGGCTTAAACATATGGCTGCTATAAAAAAAACTGCATAAAGTGAAAAAAAAACAAAAATGAGAATATTTTATATCACAATTTCCAACAGAAGTTAGAAAACTTAACTTTGGCATTTGTTCTATACTTTAAAGTACCAAGATTAAATGATACATTGTGACATTTGAATATTTCTGCATTAAAATCTCTGGTTTAAAAACATAATAGAATTTTAATAGATAATAATAGAAATAAAAATAATAATAGACATAGAATTTTGCATTACATTTTCTGACATCCGCTTACATTTTTTAAGGAAAAAAAGACTTTTAGCTGTTCTATGCTTTCACTTGCTTAGCATCCTTAGCAAGTGCCAGGCTTGAATGATATGACTAGCTATAAAAGCACAAATGAAAGGACATTTTTATAACAAAAAGTCTGACTACTGATTATTATTAGAAAACAAACTTTTTGGCTACTTTTATATTTTCACTTGCTTAGCATTAGGCTTGAAATATACAGCTAGCAATAAAAATACATATGAATAGAATATTTCCACATCAAAATATCTGACAACCAGTTAATGTTTTCAAAACATGGCTTTTGGCTATTCATCTACTAGGCTTGAAACATATGACTACTATAAAAAATACATAAAAGCACCCAACTAGTATTAGAAAACTTGACTTTCCGCTGTTTTGCATTGCTTGACATTCTTAACGTCAGGTACCTGGTTTTAAACCTATTGAAAAAAGAACATGTGTCTCCATTTTTTTATGATTTTTATTTTTCTGCATCATTTGAGTGCAGCAGCTGTCCGTTACATTGTATCATTTCATGATAATTGGACCAATAGAAATGGTCCAAAATTGGTGGGAATAAAATCTCATTACTAGTCACTATTTTGGAGATTTTTTGGTCAGTTTGGCCAGCTGTAAAAACATGAGTGATGGAAAAAAAGAGGGAATGGAATATTTCTCCATCAAAATTTCAGGTGGCTTCTTGGCTTTTTTGCTGTGCTTTCATTCCCTAAAGTGGCAATCCTGTCTATTGTTAACATGCTAAGGTTATTTAGTCAGTTTGCTCTTTTTGGTGTGCAACGTTTTGAGAGCTCTTTTCTGCAGGTGGCCTTTATTTGTGGTTTCATTACCCAGAAGGCTTTGCGGAGATAATTACGGCCTGGTCTGTGGTTCCTGGTGCAGGGTGTGCTTTTAACTGAGCTGCTTTACTCCCCCCCTCGTAGCAGTTTGGCTTTCTCCAGCAGAACGCAGCGTCTTCTCGGTAGCACGCTCACCCCCTCCCTTCCACTCCATCAAATTACCAGGATGTTTTGAAGTAGTCTGGTCTCAGATAATTACAGGCAATTATAAAGGCTGTTTCCAAATGTACAGCTGTGACATTCGCAAAAAGGGAGGCTGTCTCATTTGCATAAGAAAGCAGAGATAAGAGCATATTGTATTGCGCATGCAGGGAAACGGGCGTTAAAAACACAACAGGAAAAGAAAAGAGCCCAGCGCGTCCTCAGTGTGTGTGACACACACGTTCTTCATGGTGGAACATGGAGCTGGAGGATGTAGTTCATATCTGTGTTTATGAAATAAAGCACAGACTCAGCTCTGGGGTGTCAGAGTTGTCGTCAGTGGTGGCACTGACGACCGTGTCTCCTGTTTGGTTTACTTGCATCATCTCTTCTTCCATCATGTCCTTCATCAGCTTCTCCTCCCTTTTCATCTTTCTTCTTCCTCTTCTTCTTCTTCTTCTTCTTCTTCTAATTCTTCTAATTCTTCTTCTCTGTCTTCTGCTACTTTTTTGTTCATCTTCTTTTTCTTCTTCTTTTTCTTTTTTTCCTCTTATTCTTCTTCTGTTACTTTGTAAATTCTTCTTCTTCTTCTGTTCTTCTCTTCTTCTTCTTCCTCTTCTGTTCTTCTACTTCTTCTTTTCTTTTTCTGTTCTTCTTCTTCTTCTGTTTTTTTTCTTCTTCTTTTCTTCTTCTGTTACTTTGTAAATTCTTCTTCTGTTCTTCTTCTTCATCTTCTTCATTTTCTTCCTCTTCTTCTTCTTTTCTTATTCTTCTTCTTCCATTTTCATCTTTTGTTTCTTTGTAAATTCTTCTTCTTCTTCTTCTTCTTCTTCTTCTTCTTATTCTTCTTCTTGTTTCCTGGCCTGTATGACTTTTTCAGCAGAAAACCTTAATCTAATCTCTTCAAATGGCCTTTTTTGTTTTTAAATTTGCTTAAATTCTAAATTCCTAGAATTTTAGGTTGAATATTTGTACTTTCTGTACTTTATATGCAC